TATAAATCAATTTTATTATTAAGTTAGAATTTTTATCTCTATTTTTTATCTGTTTTAAAAATATATTCCAAAATATTAAACAATAAATTAAATTACCACATTTATGTATTTACATATTTTATTCTGCACGAGCGATATCATAAAAAATTTCCCACTTTTTTTTTAATTAAAAAACGAGACACGATAAATGTCACGATAAAAGTTCGATATATTTCAGTCACGATTAACAAACGTCATTGATTCACGCTACGAGTGTCAAGTAGATACAAACGAAATTGTTAATATTTTACGAAACGCTTCCCCTTGATTTTCGCGCACCCCGTCGTTTCCAATAAAAAGCTGCTCAATCATTGTCTCCAATTAACCCCTTGTTAAATTATGCAACAACCAATTCCTCGCCGGAAAACCCTACATCTACGGATATGCTGTACACCTTAAGCGCTCAAAGGACCGCGTCCGAACGGATTAGCGACATCAAAGACTTTATACCAATACGCTGTCTTCGTATAGTTTTGATGAACTAATCCTTTTGAGTGGATTGGGGGAAAAGCTTCTTCCACAGAAATTAGGCGAGAAACAATACATACGTGCCTATACTCGGGGGTTGAAGAGTATCTCACCCAAAGCGTCGATCGCGAGTCGCACGCCAGTCCCGTGTCTAATTAGATTTAACGCCGGAACACACCGAAACGTCGCGTCGTTTCGTTACAAATGTCGATATGGCAATGACGTTATCGCTACATTTGCCTACGGGGAATCCGGGAAACACGTAGGGGAGGGGTATGGGGGTACTTTTGGGTCCTCCCTCTTGATTTCTATTTCAAATATATTTCCGTGCGCGTGTAACGAGTACATGTATGCGTTGGGTACACGTTGGGTAGTTTTTTTTTTTTTTTTTTTTTTATATCGAGATAAATAAAGGATGAATAATTTTCATGAAAAAAGAAAAAGAACCTTATCAAACTTGATCTGCTGTAAAATCTTTTCAATTTTGTAAAGAATAAGGTATCATTGCATCCGATTCGGTCTCAAATTGCAAATCCAATGAACAGTGAAGTGGCTTATGGTTTTCAATCTCCCGACTCTAATGAGAAAAAGAGCGAATATCGCACAAATACCTAATATTGAATTTCGCTTTCGCTGATGTTACACACGTATATAAAAGCCTAGAGTTGTTCCGGTCGTCTTTCTAGAAGGAATATTGAAACGATAATTGAATTAAATCAAAGTCGTGGTTAAGCGTCAAGGTTTTGCATCGGGTACGAATTACGTGTGTTCCATTTGAGACTATTAGCTTTGAGGGTGATTTTTACTCCAATTTTTAAAGCCTGTGTAATTATGCGAAAACCATCATTTTTTATTAATCTAAATCGACCTTACAATACTGATTTCACAACAATCTTACGCTTTGAATCATCTTTTTTAATAACTAACCTATTTAATACCCCGTGATATGGCATAAGCTAATCCTAACATCAAAACAAGATATTTCACCTAAACCTCATGGATTTTTTCCATTCAAAATAGTTCTGAAATTGGTAAAAAAATTACGCTTATCAATAACACGAGAAAAATCTTAAGCAACAGCTGTCCTTGAAAAATAATAACCATTTCGTCCCCTAAAAACTTATTAACAGCACTGCGTAAGTACTAACCCCTTGAAAAATCTCTCGTCATTAACATAAAACTACATGCTAACGAATCCTTGGAGGGGCAAAAAAAAAGGCAAAAAAAAAAATAAAACTGCTCAAGCCCGCACTAAACAAGTGTACGAGGCAGAGGGTCAGGTGGTATATACATACACACGAGGGGTAAGAGGAAAAATCCACGGAAACGCGAAAAGTTGCTTGATTAAAACGCATCGCGCGCATACAGAAAATATCCAAGACAATAACCCCACCCTTTTTTTTTCCTCGGTG